ACGATTAAAAAGAAGTTTGATGAAAGGTTTTTGTTTAAATATACTAATTAGATAAATTAGATTAAAGACTAGTTTAGATAGTAGTATATAATTTTTACAAAGCTCAATACAGAGCTTATAATTATGACCATTCGGTATGGGTGAAAATCCTATATTCTTCTTTTTTTTATTTTTTCTCTTATCTTTTTCTTTTCTTGTTTGTATCTTTTATTGTATCTTCCTATATCTCTGTATTTTTTTTATATAGTTTTTTTTTTTTACTTCTCTATAAGAAGATATCATCAGATTAACAGTATCCTATTGTAGAACAGTGGGTCAGATAAGCCTTTTAGTTAGGGTATTACCTTTTAGTTTTATCTTACCAGTGCGGCAGATCACTGATGGGCATTCATTGAAGCAGCTGTGAATGTTAAAATCATAGGTTTAATGTTATAGCAACATACTTACAATCTTTCACAGAATTGAAGCTTTATTAAATATTGATTACTAGCACGATCTTGCCTAAGTGAAAAAAAAATGTAAAACATAATTGCTAATCAAAAATTGCTAAGTGTAATCACTAATTGTAATCACTAAGTATACTGTATTTTCCTAAAAATAAGCTACCCTTTTTTGGACGATTTTAAATACAAAAAATCAGTAGTAGTTTATTTTTGGATATAATTGATTTTGTTCAATTCTGAAAATATTTATTAAGTAAATCGATGATTTATATTAAGTAAAAGTTATTTAGGAGATCAAAATACACATATATTAAAAGTTTCATGCAAATTAGATAACTTTTTATTAATACATTTTGGTATATTACATTCAACGAATATGAATTTCAAAGAAATTTTTAAGAAAATTTAAAAAATTCATCAAATGTAACATGCAAAAACATATTAATAAAAAGTTATCTAATTAGTATAAAACTTTTAAGATATATGTATTTTAATCGTCTAAACAACTTTCACTTAATAAATTTTGACTTTACTACAGAGAAACTACTAACAATTATAAAGTAGCTTATTTTTAGGCTAAAGAGGTTTTTATGTTTTTCTTCTAAAAAAAGAAGGTAGCTTATTTTCAGTGATAGTTTATTTTGGAGAAAATACAGTAATTGCTAATCATTAATTGCTAAGCATAATTGCTAATTGTTAATTATCAAGTGTAATCACTAATCATTATATATATTTTGTATTTTATTTTTTTTTTTGGCGATTCTGCCTTTATTATTTAAATTATAGTAAATATAAATTTTCTATACTATATTCCTATACTAATAAAGACTCACTCAGCTTTTTAGCTTAGATGCAACCCGTCTAAGTAGCCAAATTTGCTTCACGTTGGATCCTCAACTTTCTGAGGATTTGGTTCCTTTAATCCTTAGCTGGAAGCTGCCAACCTTGTCAGAAATCACCAATTTCTGCTACAATTGGTCCAGGAGGATCAATTTGGTTTCACATAATATTGGATTAAATTTTGCCTGTTTTCTTTTGCTAAATTTAAAACTCGTTTTTCTTTTTTCTTTTGGGCCTTTTCTAAAGCTTCTTTCTCTTTAGCCCTAATTTCTTAATTATCTGATTCCTTCAAAATTCTCTTTTTTCTTGGTCTCATCTTTTTCGTGAGGTCATTTGTTATTCCATTTTCCTTTTCCTAGTCATTTAATAGTTCACATCTAAAGTTCCATATACAAGTCCTAAACCTTTCATCAAACTTCTTTTTAATCGTATTCATTACCTTGCGAATTATATTTGGATCCTTAAATTCCTTATCGATTTTTATCTTCTTCTTTTTGGTTATAAGGCTTCTTATTAAACATCTTCTTGTTTCTATCCTTTCTTCTTGAGTTTTGCCAAAAAACAGGTCTTTAATTGTCTTTTTGTTATTAAGGTTTCTTGTTACGCCTTCTTTTTGCAGTGTTTTTAGGCCTTCTTCACCAGCTTCTTCTTTAATATATTCTATATCTTTTGGTACGCTGTGTATTCTATAAGGTGATTGATGCCTTCTGCTTTATCTTTGCATATTATACAAGTGTTTGTTTTATATACTTCAGGTTTTCTTGTATTTAGTTTTGTCAAGATTAGTAAGAGCTCTCCTAAGCATCTAACTTGAAATGTTAACTTTTTGTTTTTTTCCCTACTTGTATAGTTTTTGCTCTTGTTCTTATCTAGCCACCTCTATGTTTCTCTCTAATTTAATTCCTTCTCTTTTTCTCTATCTAAGCATCTACTATTTCTATCTAAATTTGCTCATTCAGCATCTATAGTAGCTAAAACTAGTTTGTTTACAACTTCTCTCATTAGACTATCTATTGTAATATCCCCCATCTTGCTAGTATATGTGACCTTTTTGTCTAAGGCCATATTGCTGTGATCGTTTTTTGTTCTCTTGCTTCTTGTTTTGTCAATCTGTCTGCATTTTCATTATACATATTCCCACTATGCCCTTTAACTTTCTTAAGCTATATTTTGAGATTCTTTAACTTCTATGTCTTCTGAATTTGACATAAAAGACTTGCATTTTTAAGCTTGAATGCTTTTCTTTCTTTTTCTTTCCTATCTTTATTCTTAAGTGCTTATATGGCGGCCAGACTATCTGTATAAATTGTTAATTCTGCATCTTCTGATACCACTAAAGATGCTGTTATATATTTTTTAAATTCTTCTTTAAGATAAATATAATAATATTATTATTACAAAGTAGATTTTAGTGTAGCATTTTGTATAGAAATTTAAGTTATTTTTAGCTTAGAATTATACATTATTATATATATTATTAGTTAGTTTATTCTTAGTTATATTTAATACATTTTTATTTTTATTTTTATTTTTATTTTTAATATTAAGGTAATCACTCACAGGTCTGCACAGTTTATTAAACTTTTAGTTTGATACCAGCATAGTCATATAGACAGTGCCTGATCTTGTTACATTAATGAGAGTATATTCTAGCTATATCTGTGCCTTTTAAGCGCCTATTTAAGTAGTTTGTCTATCCTAGATCTATACTAGATGCCATACCTATAACCCAACTATGAGATTATCTATTTAAACTCTCTGATTAACTTCATGCCATCAGATATCTTTCCTAAAGAGGAACCTGCCGCTAAGGCCTGCTAAGTCTTTAAAATGGATACACACTTCTATATAGGGTCCTTTGACCTTGTAGTAAACCTATTAGAGCGGTTCATGTCTCACATATGTATCACCTAGTTTTTCAGTAACTTATGCCTAGGCTGAGACCAAGTACTTGCAAGCCAAAGCTGCTACTGTTACCTACTCTGTGCCTTTACAAAGTTCATTCAAACCCTAGTACATATTTAATAACCCATACTTCCGGTTTTCTAGACTAAGCTCTACTTCTGGTTTCCCAAACTAAACCTTACTTCCGGTTCACCAAACTTCCAATCCAGATAGCCCAGAAGAGCTGTGATTTGCTCCTGGTACCCATGATTGGGTTCTTTTCCTCTAGTTACTCAGCTGGTGGCCTGGTTGATAGAGTGCCTTGCCAAACACTTCAGTCCCGTCTGGTTCCCCTTTTTTCTGCTGTTTGGTTCACCCTTTTCCTGCCGTCTGGTTTCCCTTTTTGGATTATTAGGTAATACCATCAAAGATTTGTACTACCTCTCTGTTCGGGTCTTCCCAAGCAGACTCCTATATCCTGGATTTATTCGGCAGCTTCACTGCCGTGCAACTCGTACGTTATGCTTATTATTCTACTGCCTCTCAGTACAAGCTGGTGTGATCCTGTTACAGGTTCTATAACCCAATAGGATACAGTTGTCCAAATGCATTTTCTGTAAATTCGAATTTCGTCACTAGTGAGATTCAAACTCTGGTTCTACTGCTTGGAGGTGCGACAACTTCACCACTTCACTAAGTCGCTACACCCCTTAATACATTTTTATTTTGTATATTATTATATTATATTAGATAGTAATTTTATAGTTGATATATAGAAATAATTTGATTGGCTATTAGAAAGTGTAGCACAGTCACATGACTTCACATGATCTAAAGTAATACAAGGTTATACAAAAGAGTACTTTAGATTACACAAAAGGTACCACAAAAGAGTAATACAATTTCTCCCAAGTTCTGCTACATAGAATTCACCAGATTCCTCTACACGAAATCCTAAGTGTTTTGAACACGAGATACCACATTGCAAGCTCCACATCATGTCGCAATGTCCTCAGGTTCTCCTTCACAATCAATAAATAAATATAAACAAATCGAGGAATGTTTATATTCCCCAACTTTCCCCAGTATAATCTTCCAACTTCCTTAGTACAATTTCTCAACTTTCTCTAGTACAATCCCCAACTTTCTCTACTAATATTACTTATCCTCTAATGTTTTCTTGCATGCTGTGTATCTTTGCTTTGGGCAGAAAAGATATATAAAGGGTGTCTTTTCTCCTTTCCTGCCAATTCTTAAATTCCTACACTTTGCTTAAACTTTAATATCCCTCTTATCTTGTAAAGTGTGATATTTCACCTCTAGGGTAATTTCTACAGACAAGACTTAACATTATTCTTGTATTAAATAAAGCTATCTTATATACTGTTACTATCTCAAACTATTTGTCTGCTGCTGTGTAATTAAGTGAACAACTACACTTTCACCCTATATATATTTGTAATAATCAATCACTATACTAGGTGATCTTGTTATTTGGTTGTATTTTACTAAGAAGGCTACAACTCTGTAACATTTTGGTGCCTTCTGGCAAAAATATAAAATTTTGTAAGGAGCAAAATTTATCCTCTTGGAAACAAACCTCTCTCTCTTGAAAAGAAACCTTCTTGCAGAAACTATTTTCAACTCTCTTAGAGCAGCAGAAGCTATTGAAAAAGCATCCTGAGAAATTATATTTTTGGTATACCACTACTAACTCAACTTGAATTATATTTAATTATTGAATTGTTTTTAGAATTGTTTTAACAAGAAGTTTATACTTTTACCTCCTACTACTACTAATTTTCTTGTTGGCCATACATATATTTTGTTTAAATTTTAGAATTATATTTTGTTATCTTTACTCAAGTTATTTTATTTTGTTTTATTCACAAATTTTATTTTATTTTGTTACTGCTAGCAACTTTTTTCGATTTATTTTATTTTATTTTTCTCTATCATTTTATCATTTGTTACTACTAATCTTCTTTACTGAGATTTTTATTTTATTTTATGAGAGATTTGTTAACTCATTATCATCTAGAAAATATTCAAAAGCATAGACAATCCCATCTCAATAACCCTTCTCTTGCTATTACTGTTCTTCAAACTCTTGCATCTGATTTAATCTGTACTCAGTATTATTCTATAATACTTACTTTTGGAGGATGTTTTGATGAATTCTGGAATTGGTATTCTCAAGTTTATCATACTACAACATACAGTAAAGCAACCTACTCTAATTTTTATTAACTAGCTACTGCTAACTAAGATAAAGCTCGCATAGCTATTCAAAACATTATTTTTAGTTGCCAATATCAAAGAGCAGTGCCTAACCTCCAATTAACTGCTCAACATCTCTAGCGAACATATACTTTCTTTATAATCTTTGCAGAGTTAACAGTACTTATAGCAACCACTACAATATTTTTATTAATAATCCTACTGCTACCTAATCTTATCTTCAATCATTATATTCAGACAAAGAACAACCAACTTTAGAAGAAGCTACTACACCTATTTTATCATCATCCTTACCTGAAACTGTTATTAGAATTAGGACATTTGTTATTGCATCTACTTCCACTACAACTCCTACTCAAATTACTTAACCAAAAACAAAGAAAAGATTTTTAACCCATCTGATACTCAAAGTGTTAATCTTAAGAAAGCCTCTTTATCTCATATCTCTCCATCTAAATTTATTCAAAGAGTTTATAGAACTCTTGCATCTCTTAATCCTCAGTGAACTAAACTCTCATCCACTTCAGAATCACACCAAAACGATATTCATTCTGTAATTACAGAAACTCCAATTATAGCTGAAACTGCATCAGTGTGTACTGCAGAAAAGGAAGTCATTACCTCTACAACTTCATTAGACCAAGACTATCAGTCTATTTATCTTAATATTAAAACACCTAGTCCATCTCCAAATCACCTTTATCAAGAAATTTCTAGTTTATTCTCAACTTATTCTTCAACTTATTCACCAATCTATCCACAACTTCCTGGAATAACAACTAGTCCTATCTACTGTAATCAAGAAGAAACAAATTTTGAACAAACAGAATCAAAAGATATATTAGAACAAGACTTCCTTTCTGAACAAACTAATTTAATACCTTTATATAAATTAGATAGTTTAGATACTGACGAAGAAGGAAATATGAATGACTTACAAGAAAACACTGAAGCTATAACTCAATTAGCTGAAACTATTGCTAGAGAAGAAGGAGGAGAAAAATCACTTATCAAGATTAAACCATTTAAAAAAGATGGTATTAAAGATCCTGTTAACTGAATTAATGAATTTGAGCGAGCTGTTACTGTGAATAATTGGAATGCTGATAGAACCCTTATAATTGCCAAAGCCTATATGTAAGATAATATAAAGGAATGGTTAAAAGAATTAGCTAACAATGTAATTTAGTCATACAATAGTGATGACTATGATAATGACTACAAGTTCAAAATATTGTTTTTAAAAGAATTTACAACCCCCAAGAAATTAGCTATTTGGCAACAAGAATTTTTTGATCTAAAACAAAGAGCTAATACTGTAGATATCTATACTGCTCAGTTTAAGAAACTGAAAAAGAAAGTAAATCCAAACCCAGAACATGCCTTCCCTGATCCCTTTATTATTCAACTTTTTTATCAAAGGATTGTGATCAGAATATGCAATTCCTGTTCAAGTATCAAGCCCCGAAAATTTGAATAATGCAATTGCTGCTGCTAAATAATGAGAAACTGTAAGATTAATAGCCTCACCAGAAGATTCAGTAATAGATGCTATCTATAATCTTACTAATTGCTTTGATAAATTAGCCATTAATATGGTTTAGCAATAATTAAAACTACAATTTAAGCCTGCCTATACAGCTAAAAGAGAGTCTAGTTTATCTCATAAATATAACTCTAATCAGAATAAAGCCCTTTGCTATTATTGTAGTAATCCAGGACATTTTATTGCCAACTGTAAAAAAAGAAGAGTTGATAACTAAAGAAATAGATACAATGGAAGGAGAAACAATAACAATAATAGAAAAAGCAACAACTGCTATAATGATAATAAAAGAAACAGAGATAGAAGCCAATCTCGAGATAGAAATTATAAAAACCGAAATCAATCTCGTAACAGAAATTACAGAGACAGATTTAGAGAAAGAAGCCAAAAAAGATGAAGACCTAGGTCTAATCATTCATCTTCTCTCTATTATCGAAATGTTAATATGGCTGAAAAGCAACCTACTTCTAATTCTAATAATTAGAAAGATTGTTAGACAACTACTCTATTAGAACTGCTCTTACTACTTATATTATTGAAACCAATCAGGAAAATACTAAACCCCAGCCTATTAGTACTATTACTCCTATCAAATATTATATTAATATCCAGGATCGTATCTACCTTGCTATTATTAACAGTGGAGCTTCTATCAGTATGATCTTACACCAAACTGTAAAAGAACTTGGACTAAAAATTAAAGAGCCATCTAAGAGTCTTATTGTTGCTGCTACTAGTACTACCTCCAGACCTAAAATATTATTAGAAATTTGTCTATTAGAATTCAAGGTCGACTAATCCCCTTAGATATTAAAGTAATATCTGCTACTTCATATTCTATATTACTTAGAAATGATTGGTCTAAGAAAGTAGAAGCTAATTATAACTGAAAAACTTGCTAATATACTTTCTATTGAAAAGGAAAGAAAATTGTTTTTAACACTTCTTATAAGCAAGAATAGCCAAAGAAAAAGCAGCCAACTTGTGTTAAGCCAGAAGACTTTGAATTATATAAGCAGGAATACTTAATGCCTCATAAAGCCTATGCATTTTCTGTATCCTCAGAAGATAAAAACTAAGGATGGACTATCTATTAACCTCAGCAAAGAAAACTCTCATATAAGACCTGTAGCCAAGCTACCCACCAATACAAAGACTGCCTTAGAAATTAATGCTATTATTGTAATTAATTTGAGTATGTGCTTATTAACTGCCCTAATAAATATAAAAGATTAAATAATTGTCAAACTTGTAGACTTTGTAATATTCAGAAACCCAGATCAAGAATGCATAACATAGAAAGCATATGAGAAGAATTATGGTTCTGTAAACTAAAATATATGTATGTTTATAAAATCTTTATGGACTTACAATATAATCTAAATTATGAAATTTGGAATAGAATTAGGCATTATACTGAGTCTACCAGGAATGCTAGACATCAGTATAATTTGAACTAAGACTGAATTTATCATTTAGTGCAAGTTTTACTTGCTAAAGACTATAAAACTATAAAAGAAGCTATAGAAGAGCAAGAAAATGATAGATACAATAGGGAATGGACCTCTGAGAAAATTACTATTCTGTTTTGAGCAGAACAGAAGAAGTTATATTATAATGAATTTTAAATGAATCTTTCAATACTTCTCAACCTGACTTTGATATTCGCAAAGCAATTAAGAATTTAAGAAAGAATTTTGAAGGAAAAGTAGCTTTTTGTCAAGAATTCTCTTTGCTAAACAATATATCAAACTAGAAATAAACCAAGGTCTTTGTGATGAATATTATTAAGAAAAGGACAAACCAAATCCTTTAGAAGAGCAGGATATAGAAGAAATACACCATGATAAAATTGTATTTATAGAACAAGAGATGAATAAACTATATTAGAATATAGTTAATTTAAAACAACTATTAGAAGAAACATTACAAAATAATATTGATATTGTAAAACAGCCTAAAATAAGTGAGAACACTATTTTTGAGGAGAGGAAGAATGAAGAAAAAGACCAGATTATTGACTAACTAGAAGCTAGAGTCCAATACTTAGAGGAAAATTTTAAAAAGATGATGAAATTTTTCTAACAACAAATTTAACACCATCAGAAACAAGCTGATTACTATGTTTATATAGCCTTTATACCACAAAATTTCTGAGCTATCCTAAGCAAGACGAAAAACTACCTGAAGATTTAGAAAACTTAAAAGGCTTAGAAGACTTACCAACAGAAACAGAAGCTTTGCAACAGGCTTTGCAAACTAATACCCTTAAATATAACTTCGTATATATTATAGATATTTTAATTCCCTATGAGGAATATATTTAGAAAAGACAGATATAAAACCCTTTACACATGATCAAAGACAGCAATTCAAAGCCCTACTAGAAGCATTTGCTAACCTATTTGCTAAAGATATTACTGAACTTGGTAGAACAGATAAGGTTAAATATAAAATCTATACAAAAGATATACCATCTATCAAGTTATGACCTTATAACGTACCTCTTAATGAACAAGAATTTATTAAGCAAGAAATTGAACGAATGATGAACAGCAACATAATTCGAGCCTCAGAAAGCTTTTAGACATTATCTGTTGTTCTAGTATAAAAGAAAAATAGGAAGTTAAGATTCTGTATTGATTACAGAAAACTTAACAGTATTACTAAAAAGAATGCTTATCCTCTATCTCGAATTCAAAAAATATTAAATGCTTTTTCAAGATCTCAATGGTTTTTAACTTTAGACTTAGCTAGAGAATACTGACAAGTTATGATAGACTCTAAAGATAAAGAGAAGACTGCTTTTATTACAAAGTATAGAATATATAAGATTAATATAATGCTATTTGGACTATATAATGCTTCTGCTACTTTTCAACGACTTAGAGACCAAATATACAAAAGAATTGCCTAGAAATTTGTAGTTGTATATCTTGAATATATACTCCTAAATATTTGAGGACCATTTGAAGCATCTAAAAATTATGTTTCAATGAATAAGAGATGCTGGATTAAAGCTCAACCTTGAAAAGTACAACTTTTGAATGAAGTCTTTACCTTTTCTTAGCCATATTATTAGCTTTAAAAGAATAGCCTCTGACCCTTCAAAAATTGGAACGATATAGAAGA